GGTTGGCTAGATGATTGCTTGAATGGTTGTTGTTTGGTCAAATAGTTGTTTGGTTAGTTAGATGGTTGGTTAGTTGGTTAATTGATTGGTTGGTTGGTGTGTGTTTTTTCCATCGTTTGGTAAACTATGATTTGTTGGTTGTTTATCAGTTTATGGTTTTTAAAATAGCTTGTTTGTTTAGCTTGTTGCTTTCTTATAGATAAGCAAATATGCTTAACATACCACTATGCTCAACCACAACTGGTATTGAATTCTTGATTCTCTCAAAAAATTCAGTCTACAAAAAAAACAAAAACATATTAACAAAATGTTAGTATGGTATCTATTGCCTTTTATAATATAGATGTAATAGTACAAACGCTCTGATTGGTCCAACAACGTGATTTATTTAGCCGGTATGCACGCTCACGAGCACGACTAAATTTCTATATCATAAAACAATGGATGGATCGTCGTGCGTTTATCGGTTAAATAAGACACGCCGGGATTTTTAGGAAACACAAAAAAAAGGCATCAAAACCACGTAAAATCACAATTTTTTGCTTAAATAAGACTCACATAATCAAATAAAGTCTATAATACAAAATTAGATAACGATGGAAGCACTAGAGTTGCAGATGCAGAAAGTGTTTTAGTTTAGTGAAAACATTTGCCTGCATAAATTGCGTAGGGAGGGGAGGGGAGGGGGCATATTACCCTGTCCAATCAAAACAAGCTCAATGTAGGAAGAACAAGAGAGAAGCGTAGAAAACCACGACACTAAACGTGCGAATGTGTACAAAAATTACCTTGTGAATCTCATGAAACTGTAATTTGACTTCGACATGCAGTCCAGTTCCAATATCAGTCAAATTACTCGTCAAATAACCATACTTGAAGCTCCACGCAAAGCTCTTATCCTCATAAACTTTCAAAAACGTTTCAAAGCTTGATACAAGTTCCATGTAATCTTTTAGTATTTGTTGAAGATCTCCCTTTGAGCGACTAATTACAAATTTCACGTGGTCGGCGAAGTTGACGAATGCCTTACAGCGCCTGTCCTCCGTCCACCAAATTAACCTCCCGTCCGGCCAACTGAGGTCTAGACCCTGGGGAGCTTCGTCTTCCTTTGAGGGAATGTTGTAGTGTTCGAACAGGTGTAACCTCTCCTGCTGCCATTTGGCGAGGTTACAAAGTCGCGCGTAGTCTCCACGGTAAGGAACTGAAATTCAAAATGGATGCGCGTTTTTTATTTTGCTTTTTTGCTTTTTTTATAAACCAAATATCTTAACGTCAAGGTGCAAAAAATTATTCTTAATAAACAGTCTGAATAGTTAACTTTAGATATTTTGATTCGATGACTATGTACAAAAGAACGCACAAGAGGCTCCGAGAAAGCAATGGATAATCTTGATTTATTCTTTTATTTCCCCGGAGCCTCGTCTGCAATTCTTTTATGCATGGTCACTGAACAAAAATATCTAAAATCGGCTATTTGTCTTTAAAGGCCCAGTTTGCACCATTACGCCTCTGTTATTGTTATGATTTACACCAAAATACTTCTAGTATCCGAATATCACCATTCAAACGGATGTCAGATGGTTGAAAAGATTCGAAACGCACAGTACAAGTTATAGACTTTCGGTAAACTGAAAATGGCCGACTCCCGGCCCTGGCGCCCCCCAAAGCATATTAGTGCACACTGGGCCTTTAAACTTATAAATTGTTCATAAAAAAGCGAAAATCATGTTAATAGAACACTAGTTATTACGATCACTTACCAGAGAGGCGTGTCAACACGCGGACGAATATTGCAGCAATCTCCTCTCGATCTTGGTTATTTATCGTACTAACAAAAGGATATCCTGACATGTTACGACTGGAACAGAGCACGCACGACAAGATTCTCTTATCCAATAGTCGTCCTCCTTTAACTTTCCTCCAATCAACCTTATTAAAACATTCCATTTTTAAGCTTCGCATGTCATTTATACCATAGAATTTCATCAATAATGGATCGATAAGTTCCCGGAACACTTCGTAGCACTCTTCGTCTCCGATTATGAGACCGGGCTCTCTGTTTTGTCGGTTTTTKATGTTGTTCAGTCCGTTCTGGACCAAGTCATTTAGMGTGTAACCTTTTGATGTTTCGACCTTTTTTAACTTTAAGAGCAACTCTGGAGTGAGATGYTCTGAGAGAATAGTGTTGCTGTTCTTGATTTCTTGGTAAAGCTTCGACGGGCCACCATGGATAGGGATTTTACAATGCTTTCTGTACACATACCAAGCGCTTACAACACCAACACCGGCAAGAAGAGCAACGGCTAATTTTGGCTGAGAAATGCCTCCAATTTGACCCAATTCTTCAACGTCTATAGAAATTGACATAACACCTTCCTGAAAGACTTTGGGATGGCAATGAGTTGCTTAGCAACTGTTTGTGACGTTTGGATTAATAATRACGTCATAGAATGGTTTAATTCCTGCGAGCGGACGACTTTAGCACAGGAAACCCAGAAATGACAAATGGAAGTGAGCCATGAGTTTTGCTTATTGATGAGAAATAACTGTTTTATACTGTAAGATAGTCTGTGGTAAACACCATTATTAAGTCTTCATTTACGTGCAAGCTGAACCCAGCAATTGAAATTTTGTAAGTCAAACAGCGCGTAACCATAGTCCCTTTCGGTCATCTCTCTTTGAGCCGTTCGCCATTCTCCGCGACAACGTTTTTTAATAGGTGTATTTCTTTCAGACGCCTATCTTKACAAGAACATCAGACATCTTTACAGTTCGACTTCATATAAGCGTGATAACACGTGGCGAGACTGCGATTAATAAAACATCTAATCCTTTTAAGTTCGAAACACGTTCTACCAGAACTAATCTGAAAAGTGGTTTAGTGTAGAATATTCGAGATTACAGCAAACGTGATGTTTTCTTCCAAGTAACACGTGCAAGCGTTATTGATCGGCTTATAGACATTGCCCGTCTCATAACAGACGTCTGCAATCAATTCCTTTGTTACATTGCATTCTTAAAACCTCCAACTCTTTCTTATTATTACATTATTTATGACCATGGTATTGTAGACTAAATTATGACTCAAAAACATCTTTTTGGCCCGCCGAAAACTTGACAAGCCTTGATTATCTTCAGTTGGCGTCATTCCGACGGCCATTATTGTGACGTCATGTCGGCCATGTTTGTGACGTCGTGGCAGCCATGTTTGTGACGTCATGTCGGCCATGTTCGTGAAGTCATGGCATCCATGTTTGAGACGTCATGGCAGCCATGTTTGTGACGTCATGGTAGCTATGTTTGTGATGCCATGACGGCCTTTTTGGTGGCTCCCGGACAGGATTTCTTATTGGTATTTATTGCAATTGCTCTCAATTGTGATAAGGACTCGCTCCCAGTCCCCTAGCTTACTTGTGGCGCTGCAAAGTGTCATGGGAAGTCTAAAGATGGGAAACTCTTCTCCTTTCTTCTTCTCCTTCCTTTCGTACTGTCTAGTAAGTAGAGTCCCAAAGTNAAAATAGACTTTTATAAGGCATTTAGTCTTTTGCGACCGAACTTATGGCCTGGGATGACGTCACAAGAGTCGCGCCAGTCCCCGCTCGGACAAAAGAATTTGACGCACTTAATTTTGGCTTTATTTTTCCGATTTCGTCCCAACCGTTTACAAAATAATCACCAAACTTTCACAGAAAGTCTTACAAGGTTCATAAAAATTGTTTTAGATAATAAAAAAAAAATCGTGAAGGTGCACTTTAAAAAACAAGGCTAAGTGTTAATTTTTACCAGTATCTCCAGTTAAGGGCCGAATGAGGAGCCATGTAGCACCGCTCGGAACGGGTCTCATGATAGGTTGAGAAAACAATGGACAAACAATAGATAAGTCTTCCAACAATATAACAAAACCTAACCTAACAATAGTGGTGCTGTACTTAAGGAGCAATCAAAAAGCAGGTTTCAACTGGTACTGCATTACTGCGAATGAGGGCAACAATGAGTCATGCGAGGATGATGGTTTCAGATAGCAACAAAGTTTAAAATCACATCTGTAATAGATCTAAATGTCTAGATAAAAAATTTTAAAAGGCAGACAAATGCAAAATACAAAAAATCTCAACTTGTCGCGAAACATTGTTCCTGTTCAAGTTTAACTACATTGTTTCTCGTTTTTCATAGCCTATTTTTGTGTTTCGCGAAAGGTTTTTTTTTTACTGAAAAGAATAATTGGAAAACAACAGGTCATCGTGCAGAAATCGGAAATTTTGCAATAAGACGACACAAATCCTTATTAATTAACTCTATGGTATTTATATAATGGATTTTCCTCCCAAGGAGAGAAATTAAAAGGAAAATTTCACCAATCTTATGTTATAAAGTGGGTAGGTATTACATTGGAGAAATACTGTATTTTTTAAAAATAAAATAAAATAATAAAAAAGAGGATTTTACCGCAGCAAGCCTCATTTTTAAGTTCAATGCTTAATAATTGAAAATTCTCTCTCAACATGGCGCGAAGGAAGAATGGCATTACGTCATGCATTAATTATCATGGAAATGATGGCTTTAATTTTAAACATGCCGCATCTGTCCCATAGAATTTTTWATTAAATGTATTACATAATGTCAACACAGAAAATGTCCAAGCTTTTTTAATAAAATTTCAACAATCTACTAGTTACTTACAATGTTATATTATAAAAAAATACAGTCAATAAAAAGTTTTAATTCATTTGTAAAATTCAAATGTATTTGATTAACATGTAGCGAGTGGGAACCAAGTAGAGATATTGAGAAATACAATGAGGGATAATCAACTTATTCTAAAAAAATCAGGCTTAGAACATCCTGAAGTGCTTTTACACGTGAATTTTCATAGAATTTCCATCTATATTTTATGGAAGTTATTGCAAAATTGTCCAAAATTGTCCCAATATCGTGTACAAAGCTGTATTTGCATAACATTATGTAATAATTCATTCCTCGCAGTTTCATCTATTATTTTTTGACATTTAATCAAATAGCAACCGTTTTGTTGTCAAAAAACGATACTTATCGAAATAAATGATTTTCTAAAATGCGTTTGGACTTTCACCTTTACGTATGCCTTTGTCCTTGAAAAAAAAAAAACTATAAAAAATGTCTTTAGAATGTTTTGAATGTTGTTCCTAATAGATAAAATTGAGAGTTCCTAAAGGAAACTTTTATTCCCTTCGCTTTCACGGGATTTCTCCTCAGTAAAATCAGGAATCATATACACCATATTCTCTTCTTATCCAATCCAGGACATCGCTATCACTAGAGCTTTTTCCATGCCAGCGTCCGCTATGTGAAGCCCGGTTAGCTCTAATGGAAACAGAAAAGCCCGAAGGTAAAAAATCAGGAAATGTTTCCATTGCGTAAACAAGTTCTTCTTCTCTTTCCTGTTCAAGCTGATGATTCCTAGATTGGTCTATTCTCGGCGAATTCCTGGGCGAAAGGCAGCCATACTTGCCTTCGGAAATCTTCAAGACTCCTAGTTTAGGAAATGTTAGTTTGTATTCACTTTGGTAAAGATCGTTTGTCTTAAGGTCGCAAGTTTGTGAATCTGAGATCGGATGCTTTTTTCCCGTCATCTTCAATCTGCTTGCTTATTTCTTGGATATTATTTTTCTTCTTCAATTGTGCAAAAGCGTTTTCTTCTTTTCTAGTCTTTTGTTGTTAACAGAGGTCCTTTTCTTGCAAGCTTCACTAAGTAGTTTCAAGAGAAGATTCAATGACGTCCAACTGTTTTGACCGGGCAAGACACTTTCAGCGCTGTGGCTATCAAACCGAGATCGATTTGAACTGGCTGTGCGGCTAAAGAAATCAGGTCAAATATACTTGCCTGAGTGTGCTATCTGACCCAATCACCTTTAACTTAATAACCGGACAATCTAGCTGAAGTGTCTGTTAATTAAATTGGAAACACAATGCACGTCTAATCGCACAAATTACCACAAATTCTGTTAAGCATTCATAAGAGGCACGTTCTTGGAAAACTCGAGAAGTCCTCGGTTCATCTTAAAGGATTAAAAGTTAATATAGGCAATAAAAATACTAAGACATTGCTCAATATATTGTTTACACAATGAAAAGTAACAAAAACCTTCAAATGAAAGAAAGTAGCCACAATGGATGAATAATTAAAGTTCGGAAAGCATCGGATGTCGCAAGACGTGAGATAGGGAATAATAATCTGAAGTATTCAAAACGTGTCTTAAATATGAACTAAGTAAATACTAATTTTCTTCTCTATGGGTTGTGCGAAGCGCGTATAGCACTATCTGCTGGATAAATCCTTATCCCAGAGAGTGAGCCGCTAACTTCATCCATCCTTAGAACGACCGGGCCCTTGAGTCTACTTAAACCAAGGCCGCCAGAGTAACTTGTTCACATAATTTCGATTTTTCTTTAATTCATTATTAAATATACTTGAAACATACGGACGATGAATGAAAACAGATCAAATATTGATTTGCGCTAATTTGGTGAAATTTTTCTTCAATTCGCATCCCAAAARAGGACTGACAATTACTGTGCAGGTTCAATTTCGCGAGCTCATATTCCYATAAATGGGCTATTATAGGTGATGACTTGTTTGGTTTTATTGCGGTTTGTTGTTCACCCCAAAAATCGTTAATTAGAACCACGAGGTAGCCCATTTCCGGTGCACGCTCAAGATTTCCAAAATATCAAACCCACTTTTATATCAAAAAAGGTTTTCTAAGAATGAAACYTTSGCCAAATTGGAAATTATCATATTCAATAACAAAAATAATCCAGCTTCAAACTGGCCTCGTCACCAGACTGCTTTAGGTCCGTYAGTGACTAGTACCGAGGCTCTGAAAAACCTGTCATTTCAAGCCATATGATTGGCTAGTTTAAATAGAAAAATGCCGAAACTCTATATGAAAGTGAAAAACAGAAAAAAAAACTGCTTTTTTAAAAGCATTTTATTGATGCTTCATGTTCGAAGCAAAGGCGGATCCAGAGGGGGAGAGGTGTTGGGTGCGGACGCACCCCCCCCCCCCCCCCCCCTCCCCCCTCACCCTTTTTGGACGACGTAATTTTTTTATATATCCGTAAAAACGTTTTTTCTGCTGTTTATATTCCTGTTGTACTTTAATCGAGGAAACGAGTAGCCCCCCACCCCCTTTTTGGACGACGTAATTTTTTATATATATCAGTAAAAACGTTTTTTCTGCTGTTTATATTCCTGTTGTACTTTAATCGAGAAAACGAGTAGCATTCACAACATGTGTCTGCCACTATGCTGCTTAAAAATCTATTTGAGTAGTGTAGTCAAAGATACGTTGCAATAAAAGTCAATTTGATTCCTGTCAAATTGTGCATAATTTTCTTGCTCTAGACAATACACAGCTAACAAAAATTTACTATTTCTCATCAATTAGCATAAACAATGACTACTTTCTGATTACGGTCATGCAATCGCCGTTCTACAATTGACATTCGCCGTTTTATCAGACATAGAAACAAAGGAAAGTTAGTGTCAGGAAGGAGGTTATTCCGGGAGAAAGACCCTTTGAAACAAATTCAGAATGAATTAATTCCCGATCTTGCTGGGATAAAAAGTTTTATCCGACAACCTTTTTTTGAATTAGGTATATTCTGAAAAGACTTTGTGAAGTTTTGGCAGGTTTGGTAGATTCGGACTTTCATTAACTTAAAATTTTTGTTATGGACGTTGCRGGAAAATGGAAGCAAAACGAATAAGAACAATGCAGTTGTGAAATGAGATACAGTAGAGTTTATAATTCAAAAGTGAAAAATTGATACGGCATGGAACGTTCTTCAAAATAAGAACGCTGTTTTTCGGTTACAAGTCAAGGTTTTCTACTCGATATTTTGACAATAAATAAGTACGAAAGAGAGATCCATCAAACATAGTTCTTTTGATATATCATTAAATAATTCAAACAGTCATTTCTCGTCGTAAACGTTCATCCCAAACTCTCTCATCAGCCATTCGGCATGCTTATATGTATCAACTTTGTCTTCTAGAGCAATACCATCCSACAATTTTCTAATCTCACCAGTTTTAGGTGTCGCCAAGTTCTTTTCTACAAAAAAGTCTGGAAAGTGCTTTTGAGCATATCTGAAGTTTTCGAGATCTGCTGGAATAATGTCCTGAGAAGACTGCGAATGCTTCTTTGCTAAGGCCCACACGGGTAACAGTTCAATCATAAAATCTTCCCTGTGATTTAGTATCAGAMCTGTAGTCTTTCGGACGACTTGTGTTCCTCCATCTTTAGCTGCCATATTCTTGTCCTTAATACGTAAAAAATAGACGAGCTTTGTGACTGCACTCGACGACGTTCACATGCCTTGTGATAAAAACTGACCGACTGCACGTGAAAGCACAAGGCATCCCACCAGTGGCAACGTCATAACGTCATGCAGGTGTCTCAAAGAAGCACGGCTAGTAAATACTCACGTGTGGAGTATGAAACAAC